CACAAGAAAGATGATCAATATCCATCAGCAAAGTTAACTGCAATATATCAAGACGAGGGATTTCATCAAATGAAATGTGAATGTCATTCAAAAGTAGAGGTGATTGTAAGTGGAGCAGGACTAATGATTCACTTCAACATCAGAACTGATTGCCAGGAAACAAAGATGATTTTGAGGGAAATAAGCCAAGTAAACAATCTTTCATGATGTGGTACAGAAAGACGTGCATGTAATACAGTTACATGGAGGTGATGACAACCTCTGTAACTATCAGGCAAAATGAGGTACAAGTGATGTAAGAATGGAGGTGATTTAAAGGGATTTGAAACAAAGTACTGTGTCAGATGCAAAAATGCAACAAGCTGTGATGTGATGCAAAACATGGCATTGTAAGCTATTTTATGGGGCAGCTGCAGTGTGTGGTGCAGAGGAAGAGGTGATGCCCCTTCAACTGAGGCTGTTAACTGATGCAGCTGTCTGCGGTTTGACTCCCAACTTTGGGAGTCAAACCAAAGTTGGTTTTACGTACATCACTGGTAACTGTGATGTACGTAACCAAAATATTTTCCAATAACAAAGACAAAGTAGATGACTTTAATAAAGCAAGAGAATTCATTGCAAGACAGGCCAAATCAAATGAGTGTGATTTGATTTTTCTTTCCACTGTTTATAGCAAGAAGAGTTTTTTGACGAACTTACATGAAATTGTGATGCAACAGAAGCAAGTAATTCTGACATCAGACCCAAATAAAACGAAAAAGCAAACGAGACCGGGTTTGAAAAAAAAAAAAAACCTCACATCAGTAATATAAGTCATAATGATGCAGTGATGTAAAAAGATCCCATTAGTGAGACAGGGTTATTAGATTAGAGATGTGATGTAGCTTTAGTTTTTATGGCTACAGAAAAAAATCCATTCCGTCGTAAAATACACAGCTAGATATTCATGTATCTGGCTGTGGATTTTATCAGATAAAGACAGAATGTTAAATAAAAAACACATTTTAATGCGATGTTTTTATTATAATTTGTGAAGATAGATATATATTTGATTATAATATATGATATATATATTTTTGTGTCATTTCCAGTGTTTTCACTTTTGACATGCATGTTTTTATTTGTAGACTGCATTCTGAAAAACCTTCCAGGTAAGAGGATTAAGCAACCTGCATGAATTTGAACTTCATATGAGATATTGTGATACAGAACTTGATGTTGAATTGTTGTTTTCTGTGTCAACATGCCCTGAAATGGGTTATCACTTGCTTAAATGTCAGAGACCTTTAACTCAGGTCTATGTTAGATTTCAGAAGGAACACAGAGCAACTGGAGTATTATGTTTGTGTTACAGTGACTTAATTGGTCCGCCCACCATGTTCTGTCTGTGTGAAACGTGTACTCAGTTTCTGAGGCAGGGATCCAGATTGGTTAAGACACAGACAGAGCTCCATAATTACGCTAGCCTATTCAGCAGCACTGCCTGTGCGTCAGCGCAAACGTCATGTTTGAGCTGCACGGGGAGAGACAGGACACTGGAGAGGGCTCCTCACATGCTGCGGTATGCTGGGCTGGCTGCTGCTAAGGCTGCTGCTGCTCAGGCAGATGTGCTGTCATCCTCTGTCACTCAGCTGCAAGGTAACAGATTGAGGAGAAGTGGCTTCGTCCTTCGGTGGCTCGGCCGTGTTAAAGACAGATCCACTCTTATTAGAAATACAGCCAGCTGAAAGAGATGTATTGTTGCAGAGTGACTGGCATCCAGCCTCCACCCTGAGATGACACATTGATTCAAGTCCAGTAAAGCTGTAAGCCACATATAATCCACATGATTGTGAAATATGACCAAATGACTTTGAAATGTGACACTTGGTCTTGTAGTTGTAGCTAAAAACTTGATGATTAGAAGCCAGTCCTTTGGTTTCTTTGTCTATTGCAGGAACCTCGTTCAAATCTCACCTGCATGTTTAAGCTTCTGCCAGCTCATTTAAGAGTCTGAACATGTTGCTTAACCAGAGATTTGCATGTACATTACCTTCCATTCTATTTTTTAATATTCCCTCATCATGATTTGAACAATTGCACTTGTGTGGAAGAAGGAGCCTAATTTGGACAGCTTTGATTTGAACTAATTAACCGTATGCAGGTTTAGAGAGGCCCAGCATGACAACCAAACGATAATAATGACAACCACAGCGTTGATGAGAACGATTATGACAATTATAGCGTCGAAATTGACAAGCTCTTAAATCTCATTTGTGTAATGATCTCAAGGCAGCAGAATGAAGCAAAGTCTTTAAGGCAGATTTTATCCATCTTTGTCTTTAGTATAAGGCCAGCCAGAGCCAAACCTGCTGCTCTGGGCTTACTGTCCTGCAGAGAGGCCCCAAAAGCATTTCACTTCTCAAACAGAATATTGATAATTTTCTGAGTAAAATGGTATAAAAATGACAAATTCTTTAAATGACTATTTATTTAAAATAGAACCCAAATGTAATTTTAATTATAGTGAAATTGGAATATTATATTGGTCCTGCAAAGCCAATTTAACTTGACCCCTTCTTTCTAATTTCACTGAGTTTGCATAATAATGTTATACTGTAGTCCAGACAAAATGAAAAAGCCATTAATTACTATTATTTATTTGCTGCCATCCTTCCGTCTGTGTGTCCAACCGTCTATCGTCAAGCTTATCTGAGATCTGGTTGCTGGAGTAACAGGTTCAGGTGGGAAACACTGACATCTCTTTTCCTACAGACACTCTCCTACCAAATCCAAGCCATCCCAAGATGTGTTCTGGCCAGATGGGATATATAGTCACCTCAAACTAAATGTGGTTCTGCCTTCGGTTCTCCAAAAAGGAGGAGTTCAGGAGACATCATGGTTTTATGCCTGAACCAGCTGTACTGGTTCTTTTTGATGCAAAGGAGCAGCCTCTTTATGCTGAGCTTTCCCAAAGGTCCTCACATTGTCTTTAACAGTGAGTCCATCCACACTGAAGAGGGGGTTCATTCCAGATCATTGCATCCAGGATCTCACTATTTCATAATCCACTAGGGGTGTGCGATAAAAGGAATTTTGGTATTGATTTGGCTGCATTTTTCATTACGATAAAATGCAGGTCAAATGGGATTTTATGAACTAACTGCAATATAACACAATGTAGCAGCATTGAAATAAAATATTTCTATTTATCTGCATGTGACCATAGGAATGCTATTTTTCCTTCAGAAGGTCATTAAAACCTATTTCAGGTTTGTGGTACAAAGCTTTACGTAAGTGTATATTTTTGATTTCAGTAAGATGTTTTGGATAGATACTAATAGTTTAATTGGTATGCTAAAATTGCATCTCTGATCACAGATTACACTGTGAGCCAAGATAGAAGTGCAGTGTTTGTGCAGACAGTGCTGGAGTGAAGCTGCACTTATGGGGAAAGTGAACAGATTGTGTTTGAAAGAAAGCAGACGTTTTGAATGCAAACATAACAAAAGCATGAATCCTCAAACCGAAAATGTGAGCTCTTGATTTTTGGCATTTTAATTCCTGCATATGCACTGGCATGAGGAATTTGCTGAACATTTAGAAGAGAAACTGCAAACAAAAGCATCAATCTCATCATGTTTGCATCAATCCGGTACCAAAATCAATATCGATAGCATCGATATTTAGATTGATACACCATTGTCTCATGACACCCAGAAAGATGAGACCTTTACTTTTTGACTCACCTCTTTCACCACAACCAACTAAAGCAGGGCCCACCTTTATACTCCATCATTTGTTAACAAGGATCCCCACCCTGAGCTAAAATCTGACCTCAAAGCAGGAGGAAACAATTCACCTTTTCCTGCTTCATGCTAATCTACAAACTATATACCGTAAATACACTCTGAAGGTCATGGATTGAAGACAAAAATAGAACCACACCATCTGTAAAAACTGAACAGACATAAGTCTCTCATTGACCATGGCTTGAGCTCTGATCCATGATAATTTTAAGGACTTGTGCTGCGAATGTGGACACTGGTCTGACTTTGGGCATACAACTACCATAATGCCCAGATAGTCAATACTGCTGGATAAAACATAAACCTGAACCTTCCTCTCAAACTGTTCTGAGCAACAAAAAATACTACACCAACCTTTAAATACCTGCACTGATCCCCGGTGAATAAAATAGTATGTTAAAGTATTGTGCAGGTATTGGGCGTAGATATATTTCAGAGTTGCTGGTATGAAGCATGTTGACCCATCAGGTTATGATAAACCTGTTTACCCACTGCTCCCAGCACCATAACTAAACAAGTGGAAAAACCATAGTTTCTGCGCTCATGAGCTCTGGAACAATCTGACTGTTTCACATTTGCATTTGTAATTCATTCCTATTGTGTGATGTTTATTATTCTTTTCCTAAACTCAGTGAAAATGGTTTTCTCTTTCCAAGGTTGATGGACAATTGGGATCCCTTGATAAACTGATCCTGTCCTCTTTCTTGAAAATTGAGACCACCTCCATGGTGATGCTAACTCTAATATTTATCTAATAGCTCATGTGAAAAGCATGACAGTCAAGTGACACATTTCACAAAATGTTCAATATACTGTATATGTTGGGTTACAAGTAAACCTTGAATGAGGATGGTTGCACAACATGCAGGCAATCGAAGTTGGTCAGTTAGGATTTGTGGTACTTTGCAAGGTAATGAATCTAAACTAGATGTCAAATCAAATTTAGCTTTGGTCCCCAAATAATGTTGGCCAGTACAACCAAACAGTAGAGAAGAACCTCAAGTCACAGCAGTAATGAAATGTTCCAGCTCTGTCCCCAGACCTTCCTGAGAGCAGATCAAGAACATCTTCTTTTTAAAAAGAGATCAATGGTTTGCTCTGCTTTGATGCGGGGACGCATCCTTCCCCGGTCCCCCCCTTTCTCCTCCTTCATCTGTCCTCATCGCAGCCTCTATCTCTGCGCGCCGCGCATTTTATCCGAGCACCAAGCAAAAAGCAGCAGCAGCAGACAATTATCCACACACAGAGAACATTGTGCCGAGGACACTCCGGTCAGTGACATCTGAGAGAAAGAGAGAGGCAGACAGAGAGGGGGAGAGAGAGCGATTCTACTTGGCACACAGCGCCCCTGTGGCAGAGAGACTTTGACTGACGGAGGATTCTGGAGGACAACGCATCTCTTCTAATCCTTTTCACACCTTTTTCTGCGTCTCGTCTGTCATCTCGGAGACCTCCGATGGTTCTCTAGCGTCTCTTCACCGCTTCTCGCCACCTCAGCATCGGATTCTGCTCATCAGCCCGCACCTTTCTTCCCCTCTCTTCTCCTTGACTGGCCGAACCGGGGCAGATCCCAGCCAACCCGGGCCGGGCCGTGGGGCTTTTCGGCGAGCCTCGTAGCTGAGATGTGCGCTTCGGGACCAGGGATCTGGGTTTCCCCCTCGGCGTGGGGAACCTCGGGCTCGTGGCAGTGCTTCTGGTGGTGGGTCGTGGCGGTCGGGGTGACAGTGGGCTCGGGGGACCCGTGGATGTCCGCGGAGGCATGCCCCACGACTTGCTCCTGCAGCAGCACCAGGATCTCCTGCGTGGACCCGGAGCGAGGGATCAGCGCGTTCCCCGTCCTGCAGAGCGAGGCGGAGATGGAGAACATCACCGACATGTGAGTGTGGAAGCTGTCAGAACCGCATCTCCATTTGGCCTAACCCATTTCTTTTTAAAGAGCATTTCATCGCGGCTGCGCTTCCATCAAATAAAGACATGCTCAGCCCTCCAAACATCATCTGTTGCTGATCATTCGCACAGCAACGAATGAGCCAGAACAGAAGGCGGATTTTAAAAACCATTTCATTCAACGAGCCTTAACCTTATTCATGACTCTTTGAAATAGTCCAGAGTTCTGCCGTGCAGGCAGAACCCTTCCTATCTGCACGACTCGTGTGCAGCCTAACCTGCATTGCATAGAACACCCATTGCAAACACGGGGCGATAGATGGAGAAAAGTCTGTTAAAAACAAATCTGTGCTCGCTTGTGTGTAGTTGGCTGCGCTCTCATCGGTCTCCACAGTCCAAATATTAGCACAGACACTTCCCAAGATGGCTAGTATGAGTATTTGAACGGAAATGAGAGAATTGATGCTGAAGGGGGGGATTTGCTTAGGCAACAATTTTCTATCCAGGCTGAATATTTGCTAATTTTTGATGACTGTATTTTTTTGTGCACTTCAGGATTTGCAGCGTCCCTGCGTCATAACTTGGTAAATTTATACATTTTAGATAAGAAAACTTGAAGATAAGCTCTTTTTTTTGGCACAGGTAAAAGCGGCCTTGTTGATGTGCTTAGTTAGATAGAAACAGTCCTTATCGCCGGCCTTGGAGGCAGTTTAAATGAGCATGAGAAGCAATCATGAAGTGCTTGGCTTGAGTTTGAACCAAAAACGACCTTGCCAAAAGCCGTGTAGATGGTTTATCTTGTCTGCATTAATTGCTGAGATGTCCTGATTAAAAAAAAAAAAAAATGCCTTGAGATGTCAGCACTTGGTCAAAATTTAATAAGCTGCCAGTCCAAGTCAGGCAACTGTACTTAAATATAGTTGGTTATGAAGAATCAATTTTATATATATATTCACTGTTGAGTCACTGGGTAAAGTTAGTTGTGCTATTTTTTTCATGTTTAATAAATTTCACCAGACAGAAAACCTCTATACTGTTATTGTTAGAACACTAGTTTGAATTTTCTTCTGAATCATAAGATTATGACCAACACTGAGCCCCTTTACACTTAGTCTTGTCGTGTTCCTCCTGTTTCCTCGTGTTCCTCCTGCTTTCTATCAGGGCTGAACGTAGAAAGCTGTGGGCCTCTGGGCTGGCGCCTGTCTTGCTGTCCATATCCATAGCTACATTAGCAGTATGAATTAATGCATGGTAGGTTTATCACATATGTTGTTCCTAAAAAAAAATACTATGATGTCATAATTTTCTAATTGTTGACTATTATTCATATTCATAAAAACCCTTAAACATGAACTCAGGCCTATAAGTTTCAAATAAATTACAGTAAAACACACATTTGTAAAATATATAAATAAATAAAAAAGCTTTAAAGCCCATACAAAGTAGGGATCCTGGACTGCTTGACTCTGACCTCTTTCTAAGGTCTGGCCCAGCTTCTGACAACACAATATTCACCTCTCTTTAAATAAGAGATAGCCATTCCCTTCACTTGTCAGTGGTCATAATGTTATGTCTGATTGGTAACTGCATTAATTTCATGACATCAAAAACAGAGAAGGTGGGAAATTAAATAGACTGGGGAATTATATTACAAACACTAGATATTTTGCTGCCTTTATTGTCTTTGCACACCTTTTCACTTACAGTACATGATCTAATAGGTCATTTTTACACTGAAAATAAGAACAACAAACGCATCTCTGTGCTAAGCAGCTTCAGATATTTTTTTGTTGCTGGGGCTGATGGGAATTCAGTATTTGTAAACCTTTGTTCAATGTTTTATGTAAAATTACCCTGAGAACTTGACCCATACGGCAAGTGCTGCTGTAGCTGTTATCCCAGTAAAGTAGCATGTTCTTGGTTCTCTCATAGTCTTTTGTGTAGCTTGAAATATTCTCAGACATCTAATCCCAGAGCTGTAGTACACAAGCAGTACGTATGCTGCTTTTCAGAGTATGTTCGCTCCATTCTTTTCATGCACACGTGGGAGCTGCTCGGAAACCGTCTCCTGCTGGCCCCTCAAACACAAACAGGTCAAGCATTTTGCTCAGATGCTGCTGAGGAAAAGAGACGATAACACATTTTGTTACCTCACTCTGGGAAGCTACAACTATTTCCCCTTGTGTGCTGTGGATCAGATGTAGTCTTTCAAAAAGTATATCTAAAAAAAACCATGTCCATTTATGTCAGTTTAACATATTTACATCTTGAAGACACGTTTCTGCTTGTACTTCCCCATGCTAACAAGTTGTCTTATGCACGCTTGTATCCCCTGACAGCTACATTGCAAACCAGAGCAGCTTCTCCTCCATTAATGACAAAGACCTGCATTACTACAAGAACCTCAGGAACCTGTGAGTCTTTTCGGACTTTATTTTACATGGGAAACTGCATGTAATATTTAAGTTCAAGTGTTGTTTTCTTGTTTTAACAGAGAGATATATTAAACACATGTGCCTTATTATAATAAATGTTTTAAAATGTTATAGTGCTTCTTTTGTTTGTATAGGTTCTGTAGTTTCCATCTCTAAACTACAAGAGCTTAAAAAAAGAAAAACAACAACAAGAAATTAGGACCAAGTATATTATTTCAGTGTGGTGTTTGACCTGCAGTGGCATAACTCTAAACTCACAGAATATGCAGTATTTCTTTTTTCAAAGAGCAGTCAAACTGTAGTTGATTGCAAACACACTGAACTTTTAATTTTTCTATTTTATTTTTGCTAGTTTCATGCCTCTGGATCAGCTTTCCACTTGTAGTTATTGTAACTATCGTCCCATTGTGCATTTAGAGCAGTAAATATAGAATTTGGCTTCAAAAAGATTTCTCTGAAGTTATATTACAGGTCAGTAAACCAGAGTTAATGAAAAGTGAATTTGTTTTGGAGCCTGTTTTTCTTTTGGATGCATTTTGCTCATTATAAACACCCCCAGCAGATGCCCTGTAATTGGCTGAAAGGTCTTTACCTGCTGTGAATATTAATAATGTGTCGGGTTTTTGATGTTCATAAGGACTCTAATGATACTGATGTATTTGTTTGCTTTGTGTCAGTACGGTGACCAACAGCAGGCTGACATATGTATCAAAACTGGCATTTCAGAGCAACGTAAGGCTACAGTATCTGTAAGTAAAACTGTTGTTTTCTTTCTTTCTATTAACATGACAAAGATTGTGCAGTTATGTACTTTTTATGAGCTAATTTATTATTTTATAAGACAGCATTTAAGAGTTATTATATAAAAAGATAATATTCGATTTGTTGTATGGTGAATTTAGGGGTGATGGGAAAATAGACTTACACACTATTACATACATTTTATATATTATTGTAATAAATAAAACTGTATATCTAATTATCGTGAAATTAGTCATAAAGGTTAAAAAAAGACATGAAAATTGGAAACATGAGCAAGATAATGAATCCACGGTTGATACAAAATGACTTAAAGTATTTCCTCTTTTTTTTCACTGCTGTAATCTTATTTGTGCACAGCAACATTTGTGTATTGCACCAAAACATCAATTGGTTTGGATGTAGAAACATTTTAAAAGAACCTGATGCGACACTTGTTTGTTTACGTTGAACTTCATTCACTGATTCTTGGTTTCATATACAGGAATTTGAAAGACAACAACTTGTCATCCCTCTCCTGGAGGATATTCAAGCACCTCAACATCTCATATCTGTGAGTTAACAGAAACCTTCACCTTCATTGTGAGATGAACTCTGATGTTAACTGAAGTTTTGTTTTGAGTTGGGTTCATTAGCTCTCAGCCTTAAAAAAGATCTTAAAGCAGTTATTTTACCATTTAGATTTAGGCAGCAAAGACAGCAAAATACATTCATACTCATATCAGCTGGTAGCTGCACCACCTACCTCCAAACTACCATAACTCATAAAATGCCCATCAGCATCGATGCCTCTAATTGCTGGAGGAGTGTTTAACTGGTATATAGTGAGTTGAAAAATATACATCCCATTTTTGCCCAAAGAAAACATTCAGTCACCTCACAGTGTCTGATTATGTCTCACAGTGTCTTTGAACTTCTCATAATCCTCTTAAATGAGCTGTTTTGCACTTGCAGGGAAACTATAATTGGGTTTCTGGAAGAGAATTAGATCAGCAGGATTGATAAAGATTTCATATCTGTCTTCAGAAAGAACAGCAACATCTGGAAACAGCTTTTCTCTGTCTTTCAGTCGTAACATAATGAGCTAACACGTCAGTGTAAAAGCCAGAAAGAGGAATATATTGAAACCCAAATCCCACAGAAAATTGCTAAAATATAGATCCTTTAGCTTCATATTCTTAAAAGATAAAACTTGTTGTTTTACCAAATTTAGTTAATGATCTTATCTATTTTATGTTATTCTATAAAGCCATCATTTACACTCATGCAGTAACATTTTTTGTCATGACCAAAAGAGCTGAGGATAAGGCCTGCCTGGCTTCCCTGGTGATCAAATTGTGTTTGTATCTGTTTAGTGAGACATGAGGTGAAATTGGAGGTTGTGGGGTTTTTACCATACCACACAATTACCCTGATAAAGATCAAGAGTAGTCAAAAATATTTAGTTTTGTCAAAATTGTTGTTTAAAACAAAGGTATTTTATTTTTAACGGCATTATTATTCTTATTATTAATTATGAACTTCATCTGTAGGAAATAAAAATCTCAAAAGCTCATATTCTCATATTTGAAGCCTTTTAATTAGCTTGTAAAAAATATATGAATATGATGTTTTAGAGAGAAAATTACGTGAAATAATAGCTTTTTTACCCAGGCTTCTTGAAACCAGAGATCAGAAAGTTACCATTAGCTTGCCTTTAAGTCGTGTTGCACTCTTTTGTTTTGGCACTCAGTCTTTGTCAGAGTTCGTCACCATGTGTTTGTACGCATCCATCCAGAATCCTGTCAGGGAATCCTCTGCACTGCTCCTGTGAGAACATGTGGATCAAGCTGTTGTTAGGAGAGGAAGCAGACACTCAGGAGCTGCGCTGCATCGAGGATGGAGGCGCACGCAAGCCTTTGTCAAGTCTGAGTCTACCGAATTGTGGTGAGGGACACACACATGCACGGACGCACACACACACACGCAAACACGCGCATGCACACATGCAGACAGAGAGGGAATGGGGAAAAAAAAAACATTCACAAGCTGTTCAGCATCTGGAGGAAACACAGTCATACTAATAGCTACCTTGATATAGATGTTTGTATGAAGTTCTGCATTTTTTTATATTTTCCTCCTCTCTGTGTTAATGTGCTGTGTTAATTGTGGTGTTGCGGAGAAGTGTTGGTGTTTAAGCACTGGCTGAGAATTGGTACTGTGAAGCAAATGTGCTAAGTGTTTTGTCAGTTCACAGTGGGTGTGGAGAATGTATGAGTGAATAACAGAGCAATGCTGTTATCACCTAAGAGAATAACTGTACAAAGAACACAATTCACACAGCGACAACAGCCTCTGCAGTAATCAGTTATCCGTATCTGCGATTGTGTGTGTGTGTGTGTGTGTGTGTGTGTGTGTGTGTGTGTGTGTGTGTGTGTGTGTGTGTGTGTGTGTGTGTTATGTTTGCACAGGCTGCAAAGAAAATGCTGCCCACACTTTATTTCAATTACACAGAACTGTGCTTAGCTTGTATATTCTAATTTCACCCCCCACACACAAAAGAGCAGCAAAAGCTGCAATGTCCTACACATAAATGCCCCAACAAATAAAAAGACACACTTTAAGTGTTGATGTATGTTGCTGCTTTATTCTACTAGGGTGACATCAGCACCAAACAGGTCTATGTATACCACTATGCTGCAGGCATTGTTTTGTACTTCAGTGCTGTGTATAAATTATAAATTATTTGAGATGCTCTTAAAGTTCAAACTTGAAATGTTTATTAGAAAATACACTTTACAATAAATAAATAAAAAAAACTCCACAGATAAAATTGAATCTCAAGTTATTTAAAGTTTATTGTAAAAAGGAACATCTTTACTTTGTCCTTTACTAGCAGTGACATGTTTTCATCCAGCAGAATTGATTTCCCCTTTTTTCCTTGAATTATCATGCTCTCTTCATAAAGTGAAGAATCCTTCCTGTATTTATAGCGAGCTGCATGAATATGTCGAACTGAAAGAATAACAAAGTCTTTTTATATCCATTTAACTGTTAAACATTATTAACAAGGGCAGTGAGTGACACAATTTATTCTTTCTCTATTAGGAATAATTATGTTGTATAACTTGCAAATATTTTCCTAACAGAGCATAGATTTATGCACAAGTGTGTTATGAACCTTACCCACAAGTTTTCTCCGACTGCATGGTAGACTCCTACAGGCTGTGCCCTTTATGTGCTGCATAAGGGAAGGTGTATCAAGCTTGAATGTATAAATGTCAGCAGTTAATTGACACTTTATTCCTCTATGCTTTATATACGCTGCATGAATTTTTCATGAATCCTCTTTTTTTGGACTCACTTCTGCTCATAAATAGGGTCGAATTACAGCTTGACCTGTCTGTGGATGTCTGCATTGGACCAACTCTTGCTCTACTTTCATTTTAGCATCCCATAAGTATAAGACTAAGACTGATGCTTGATGTTGATTTAGGTTTTGAATTTTATTTAGCTACAAATTATTAATATTTTTCTTTCCTAATAAGCATTTCTTATATAATTTGTTTACGTTATAGTTGTGCAAAAAAGATAAAAAACAACAAAATAGAAAGACAAACCAGCCATGGAGATTTAAAAAAATAGTTATGAGGCCAAAGTTTCCAGCAACAACGTGAGTTTATAAGGTGAAAGTTTCAAAGAAGATTTGTAACTTGTAGTAATTTGTAGATCCAAGAGTGTTTGCCCTATGTTGAGATTTAAAGGCCTGGTCTACATAAATTTTATCACAATTATAAATAGCTGTTTATAGAAAAACGTATGGGCATTGCAGACACAGCAGCAGTGAATGGAAGCAGCTGAAAGTCTGCCTTTTTATACGTAATAGAGTTTTTTTTTATGGTGGTTTAACATGTGGCAGAAATATTTTGAGAGAGCAGTTATTGATATAATTTGAAAGCTCAATCTGCGGAATATACATACAGAAATAAACGCTGCATTTATTTACCGAAGAAACTTCCCCCCAACCAGCGCCGAGTGTTTTCTTCACTAACCTGTTCTGCTTTCTTTAGAGCTGCCTTTGGCACAAACTGTGCTATGTCCATAACGTGCGTGTGTGTGTGTATATATATATATATATATATATATATATATATATATATATATATATATATATATATATATATATATATATATATATGTATATATATATATATATATATATATATATATATATATATATATATATATATATATATATATATATATATATATATATATATACATATATATATATAAGTTTCATAAAGGAGGCAAAAACGATTTTGAACAACAATTTTTGGTCATTGAAGAGAAATCTATCTTCATTGTTTATGTTCACAAATCTTTACGAGTGTCTATTTTTGGCAGGGTTGCTTTCTGATTATTAGGTATTTGTGCTTGGAAATATATTTAACTTGACTTTCAGCAGCATGGTCCAAAAAAACAAAAGGATGCATTCAAAAAGATTATTTCCATGTTTTTGCTGACAGTGTAAACTGGACAGAAATAGCCCAGGGCCATCAGGGCACTTAGAACACAAACAATAAGTTCGCTTACAGGAAGCTAACAATGTCATTGATAACTCCTATTGATCTGTCCCCTCTGCATACCCTCCATGAACAGACGTTATTTTTGGCAGTAGCGTAGGCACAGCAGGGCCTCTGGAGAGGTGGGCAGGGGACCCCCGATAGAGTGACATATGAGTGGGAGGACATGGAGGGGAAGGAGTGCCAAATGATGCCCTAAGGCAAACTGCGATACACCAAAGAACCTCTCAGTCTGGCCAAACTGCTGGTTGTTGGGCCGATTCTATTTTTCTTTTTCCATTTGTCTGTCTGATTCATGTGTGTCCCTGTGTCTGTGTGCTTGAGCATTTCTGACTGACACTGTGAGGGAGGCACAAAAGAGAGGAAATGCCCAGTGAAGCCCCGGGGCTGAGCTGACAGTGATCTCTATCTGCTAGTGTCCACTGACTGAATACTGCCAGAGATCTGCTGGAAAAAGCTTGCTGAAAAGACGACTGACCAATGCAATTTATTACAGAGAGGTGCCGTTCTGACTTTCTACAGCCCTACTTGTGTAATATAAAATCTAATCCACTGTGCGACACATAAAAAATGTTGAGTTCAAACAGCTGCAGGTGTTAAAGGCTCACACTGTCTGAAACAATAAAACTGGCACATAAAACTTATGAACTTCTCACTGCAGCATAATTTGCTTGTAACAGTCTTCTTTCAGCTGTACGTGACTTGCTTGCTAATCTTAAAATGTGACTTTTTAGGGTTTTTTAAGCTTACGAAAGTCTGCAAAGTTCACCACTGCAGAGCCGATCCAAGATTGAAAAGACCTGAGCAGAACGTGTGCATTCAGTTCCATTTAATAAATTAAACATGTATTTATTATCGATATGTACAGATTGATGCATTCTAAGCATTTTTTGGGTTGTTTTTCTTTCATATATATCTGTGCAGGGATTGCACAGCTGGTTTTACTGTTGCCTTGAATCAAGAAAGTCCTTGGTCTTGAGTCAAGACCAAGGACTGGTTATGGGTGATTTATTGGGTCATCTTCTTCTCTATATAAAGTGATATGGCCTTTTTGTGACCGATAAAATCAGGACAAAACATAAAGGTTTCCCAGGAGACGGTCACTGACAACCTTCACAACGGGGGTAAGGCAGAAAGGTCAAGAAACTGTCTTCATCAAGTGACTGCATCCTTGCATTAGCATAGTAAGTCTAGAGAAAGAAAAAAATTGTGGTTAAAAGCCGCTCTTATTGGTATTATATACCAATAACTTTTTTCTCTAAAGTTGAATTTGAGAAAAGCTTTATTAATGTGGAGCAGAAATGTAAGCAGGTGTCCACAGGTGTACTTTGTCTCATCTGTCTGCTTTTGTGTTTGTCGGTCTCACTGTCACTTCGTTTTTTTGGCTGGAATGACTTTGACCTTCAATCTTTCCTCTTTGAATGTCTTGAAACAAGAAAGCAACATGTGGACACAAACCTTTAAGGACAGATTACCCAGCAAGGACAAATGGCTCTTCTGAGTTTTAGCAGGCAGGAGACGATCATGTGTGAATTTTTTAGAAACAGAAATTTGGGGACTCAGTTTGTAAAACAGTTACAAACTAAAAAAGAAGATGCAAAAACAAATTTTAATGTCCTAATGATATGTGAAACAAAAATAAATACAAAAAAGAAGCAGATCAAGTTTCCTGAACGACTGGATGATCAGCTTTACAAATGACATTCTGTCAAAAAGAAATCTGTATCCCAATTCAGCAAATCCCTGTCCTTTACACTTTTTATTTTTCTATTATTCTTCTTGGAGAGCAGCAGCCACTTACTGTTTAAACAAACAAATCAAGCAACAAACTTACAGAGTTAGCTCTGAATTACTTTGAGAAACCTGCTTCTGTTTGTCTGCTACTCTTAGAAATCACACTGTTTTCCTCTTATGTGATTATTGTAACTGACCACAATAGCAACACTGGCACTGCAAGGAAAAAAGGTGAAGGACTTGGCAGAGGTTTCAAACTAGAGCACAGTAGAGGTTTTTCATCTGTAGTGTCTTTATAGCAGTGATATATCACAGAACATGCAGAAAGTGTTAAACTGTTAGACTGCATATATGTAAGTAGAGTTATTTGTCATCTTTTCCAAATGCAAGTCATTGTTTACAGATAAGAAGCCTCCTCTTTTCAGCAAACTTAAAAAACATCTTGTAAATAAACAAAAGGAAAGAGGGGAAAAAATTAAGTTATGAAAATAATGCAGAAATTACCTGTAATGAGTTAAGGAACCTCATACTTCTACAGGTTGTACTAAAAGCCTTTTACCTTAATTTGTTCCCCTGAAAAAGCCTTGGTTCAAATAAATAAAAGCAGCTGGCATTAAGTTGAAGAAAGAAGGCAAAATCAAATCAGAATTTATGATGCTCCTGGTACTTCCTGGCAAAGCTATTCATACTCCTTATGAAAAAGCAACATTTAGGCAAATAAAATACAAATTATGTCACAGACAAAAATACTATATGGTGTTATAGTCTATCCATAAAACAATACTGATTTATTACACACAGTAATAAATTACTTTACAGTAATTGTAAAGTAGGAGTCCATCTTTGCAAAAAAATCCATTAGCTAAAAAAGTACAACTATGAATTCAGTTGATGCCTTCAGATCCATGGGGTCAGCCTTAACCACAGTTTGGAAGAAAAATTTGTTCAGCACCATGCAAATCTCTCAGTCCATCCTTTTACTTTAATACACAAAGTTCTGTTATAATCTGTTCGATTATAATCTCGTTTTATAAATAGTCTGAGGTTTCTCCTATTGACTTCAATTTTTACAGCTCAGGGAATTTCCAGTAAGCTTCATAGCGTTGAACTGGCATCATGGCCAAATGGTAGCGTTTAGGTAAAGTTTAAAACTTCAACACAATCCACGCCTCCAGGAAGCAATTGCTTTTCAGTAGCTGAGACCCCTCTGTATTCAGGTGTTTAGTGGCATATAATTTTCTTCAAATTTTGATAATGTGGTACAGTGTGTAATGCGTAATTTTTGTACACTAATAGCAGGTCATTGACCTGTTAAAACAATGATAAAGAATTTACTTGCTTTTTACAATCACTGTCCATATTAACGGGGTAAAAACAAATTATAACCTATAATAGAGCTCAAGCGAATTAATTTGCAGTTTTTATATTTGTGTGCTCTAACTTGATTATTCTCCACAGAATTTCCAGTTGCTGCAATTTGCTTTCCTTGAGTCCAAACTGAATCATCCAAAGCTTGTTTGGATGATTCAGTTACGTTTTGATGAAGTGACCCTTGAGCAATTAGATTTTTTATGAATTGCATCTTCAAAGTGAGTTGCAGGTTTTTTATACGGAATCATGAGAATGGTGTGTGGTTAGAGATGTGTCCATGTTGCTCGATTGCGCTTAATCTAACCTGCAGACGGTTGCAGTGGCTGTAGAAAGCTGATTCATTGAGAGGCTGTTAAGATATTTGAATCTGATACGCTTGTTGGCCTGCCACCAGCAAAATGACCGGTTTTTACAGCATCTCATGGTGATTGAGTGGGCTCCCCTGCAGATAAGCGGTCTGCTGACGGACAGAAGAGGCTGGACAGTTAGATCTGATAAGAAATCTTTCCAGTTTTATCTGCAGCAGCTGTCAATGCCTATTTCTCTCCTCTCCTCTCTGAGCTCCTCTTCTCCTTTCCAATAGAGTTTATATGTGGGGGACAATGGTGGCGAAGTCCTTATTGAAGCTGATTGGTCATACCCAGGTCACCTCCTGGTCAAAGCTGCAGACACACACAGAGTCACCAGTGTCTTTGCTTTGACAGAGGCTTCAGACTGTGTCCAATCAATTTAGTGCCTGGCCTGCTATAGACGTGCACTGGTAATCAGTGTAACCATCACTGTGTTTGAACTCTGTCTCTTTGTCTTATTGTGTGATTGAGGTGAGTGTGCAATAATGAAAGCAGGAGAAACAGAGTGGGGGACAGGGAGATTGAATTTGAACTCTTTTCCATGTGTATCTTTCTTTTTACTCTCTGCTGGCTGTCTGTTTGGCTGCTCCTCCACATTCCTTGTTGAGCTTGTTTCGTGCCCTGTGTTTTAACTGGATAAACAAGAGTTGGTCAGGAATCCTAAGTTTGCTCCTTTTTGCACCTCCTTCCTCTCCATCACTGACTCTCTTTCTTTCCTGCTCTTTCTTTGTATGTAGAGGTTCCAATGGCAACCCTGACCCCATCAAAAGTGACCAGAAAGGAGAAGGATAATCTTGAGTTCTTCTGTACAACATCAGGCATGCCCTCACCTGAACTGATCTGGGACATGGCACTTGTCACAAACTACGTGGTAAGCTCTCGCACACAAAATGCAGCAGCATGTGAGCTCACTCTAGACTAAGAATTGTTAAAGATAAACGCAGGTTTAAACTTTTCAATTGCTTCATTTCCAAATTACCTTTATTTGAATTTTATGTGAAAGACCAACAATAACTGTAAACTTGGGGGGAAATAAAGGATATGTGGTTTTAAATATTAATAATAAAACATTCTAAAACTTCTCAATAGTTCATATAACAACCTTTCCCTGCAATTACTGCTGCAAGTCCTTTGGGGTAATCCGTTGATTGCATTATTCATCTAGAAGTGAAGTTTGTGCCCATCATATCGTATGAAAACCAAAATTTTTAAGTAATGATAAGCATTCTTGCTTGGATTTAGGTCTGAACTATGAGTGGGCCATTTTAACACATCACTGTTTGGCCTAAATCACTATATTGTGTCTCTGGCTGCAACAATTTCTGCCCTGCCTGAATGTGAAGGTTTTCTTGATGCCCACCATTTAACTTCACCCATAATAAAAGAACCGCCAACTGTGCCACCAAGCATCCAATTTTACCATCCATCTATTTGTAATTAATATGAAACATTGTTGAAAGCTTTGTACTAAATTTACTGATGTATCTATTAAACATTTATTCAAATTTACTGTTAAACCACACAACCCTAAGCAAATGTTGTATTTTGGACACCTTGTAAAACTTTACTGAAAAAGATTGTATAGAAATTTAAACAATTCAAACAAACTAATCCCTAAATATGTTATATTTTTTAATCTTGCAGATCGAGACGTCTGGCCAGGTTTCAGTGCTGCGGCTCACAAACTTGTCGTCTATGGACCACAACAAGAAGATCAGCTGCACGGCTGAAAATATTGTTGGAGAGAGGGAGTCCTCTGTGTTGCTGGATATACTTTGTACGTTTACCTTCTGCCATGCTGTTTTAATTCAAGTCTGACACAAATGGATTTTAAAACAGAGTTAAAGGCTTTAAATGAGTCTCTTTTATTTTTTAATCCATAACTTTACATGTTTCACTCCTTCCACTTTCAGTTTGCAACTAAAATCTATCTTCTCTTGACTATACTCATAGTTGCACCCCAAATCACAAAACTGAGTGATGCCATTGCAGATCATCACTGGTGCATACCCTTCAGTGTAGCAGGTATGTAAAACAAGCAAATAAAACCCATTTGCTACTATTTAAATATACTTTGAATATATTTTCCTTGTGAATTCCACAATCTTATACTAGTCATTTGCACAAATTTTATTCTGTTTTCAGCAAACCCAGAACCACATATCAAGTGGTACCGGGACAACGTGGAAGTGACAGAGGGGGAATACATTATGACAATGATCCATGACATCACAGAGAGAGAATACCACGGCTGCCTCCAGCTGGACAATCCCACACACATCAACAACGGGCTCTATCGCCTGGAGGTTGCAAATAAATATGGCTTTGACAAAAAGGAGATCACAGCTCACTTTATGCGCAGGCCAGACGATGGTGAGGAGCAAAACTGGGAACTTATTCTCTCTGGTCAGGGGTGCTTGCAGTTTATCGTAGGGTGAGCACAAAACCATCGCTGTACATGACCTAAACAAACACAACCGCATCCTCGACATGAGTCGTGTGTGTGGAGTAAAAAACAAGCACAAACATAAACCAAACGGTAGATTCACGTGATGCGCTTGGCACATTGAAACACAGTGTTTCACAACCTGCCCGATGATGGGTTCTGAGTCCGAACCCTGACCCATTGATATGTAACGTAAATTAATGAACTGACCAACCCAAAAATGCCACATGAACGCAATGTGCATGGCCCACAAAAACAGTAGAAGACATCCACACAATGCAATACGAATACTTAGATATATTCATAGCCTACTGATTTTTTTTTACAGTAGGCTATGAATGAATAAAAACAGGAAAGCAAAGCCTGTTCACAAGACGAGGAGGATAGAGATTCCCAGGCTCAGTTGGATTGTCTGTGATATCCAGAGGAAGAGGTGAAACAAAAATGTGTGGTTCATTTATACTCCTTTTGGCAGACAATCTGACTACAGTCTGTTTAAAAATCTGCTTACTTTTTAGCTGGCTTCAATGCACAGTCACATTTAGCTTACAGACAGAGTGTCAAACCACCAAATAAATAAAAGTAGACTAACCAATAAAATTTAGGTTCAGGCCCACCCCGAAAGATGCACAGGATGTTTTGACACAAAAAGACCATTTTTAATTTTTGTCCATAATTTTGTTAATATTAAAGGGTAAAAAAAAAAAATCAAAAGTCAAATAATTATACGAATGATATTTCTTTTAACTCATATAAAAATTGCAAGGTACACATAGTGTGTACAACATACAGCTGCAGGCACTCCTGTCTCTTGTTCTATTAATTTTGACTGGCTAACCGAACAAATGCATAATTTTACCATCTTGTGTGTTACGGAAATAAAAATGTTTTACTTAATGTGTTTTTTCTTTGATCTCCCAATTTGTAGAAAACGAACCTTCCTACTATGGTGAGTAAAATGTTCTCTTTCAGTCTGTTCACTCAGTACAACACATGAGAGTGGCATATCATCTCCTTGTGTATCCTGGCAAGTAACAGTTCCCCCCTGCTCTATATATCTGTCTGTGATCACCACCATTACTCAGTTCTTATGCTCTTCACCCTGCTGAGCACACTTCTAGGATTCAGGCTACCTGGCTGCTGCTGGTGAGTTCTGTGAGGAGTTAACTGCTGCTGCAAGTGAAGAGCTGATTTCAAGTATTCCAGTCCAGCTTTGTGGTTAAGAATGAGCACAAAGCTAACACAAGTAAAGCCTTCAATTTGTCCCTGTTCTTACGAGTGTAGTTTCTTTCTTAATGACAAGGAAAAGCATGAAGCCTTTCCCATTTGCCTAGGGATTGTTCATACTCTAAGAGCCTTGATGGAGCTTGAAGGATGTGCATTTCAATGCCAGCTTCATCACTCTTCGTCACCCTGGAGAAAAAGTTCTGGGAGAGGCTGTTGTCTCAGCAAGACCCACTGCTCTCTGCTTCACAAAATCTGGTTCCATCCAATTTCAGGATGACCATTTAGTCACCATCTCCACTGGGGAGACCAAATGGAGAATGTCGATCACTTAACTACAATGAAGTTGCTCAGTTTCAGCTTTGACTGAACCCTCCTTAGGAAGAAAAGGACATGTTGGACATTGACAGAGACATAGAAGGATTTGTCTGAGGATGAGAATGAGCTTTTACCAGTACAGCCTGGGTCGGCCGCCACCCCCGCAGACCAGGACGACGTGTCCTTTTTCTCTCTTCACTGATGTGCACATGTAAAACTGAATGTGGAGTGGCCATCCGCAAACCATAGTGATTGGCCAAGTTTTATCTACCCGCAAAACTGCCACAATCACAAGGTGTCTATCCCTGTTCCCAGACTTTGTTTCAGAACTGACATCTTCGTGGAACAAACCACTGTCCTCCCGAGACACTATACCAGGCTTTCGACACTATCCAGACCTGGAAGTTATTGAAAAGGCCAGTGAATATTACGCCTAATGAACCTCCAGTGACAGCATACTTGGCCCAGTCCAATAACCATTGTGTAGGCATTCCTCCACTTATATGTTTGCACTAAATGTCCCCAATGTGGGCAAAGTTAATAACTTTGCTAATATCAATAACTGTTCCCAATGTTTGTAGAAATGTTTCAATCATTCCATTAAAGACTGCTTTTTCTATGAAAAAAAAAGTTTAAAAAGCTACAGGCTACAGTCAAATGAGGCTGCATCTCTCCCACCCATTGAGAGGATATAAAACATACCTGCCAACCATGCAGCAGGCAGGTAGTCCAGCTGCACATCTTCACAAATGGCACTCATGCACGCTCCAACCTTGACTGGAAATTGCAATTACAGTTTTACCAGATGCTGCCCTGTTTTATCACCGTAGGAAACTCCACAGTCACAACCACAGTCACAACCACAGCAATGGAAGTTGTGAGGTAGGAAAAAAATATGCTGTTTACAAAAAGAGCTGGTGAACAGAGGTTGGTAAAGACGTTATTTTGTTGCTCTGGAGCAAGTGGGTGGGCTTTGTCCAAACTTGGATTTGAGAATTCTGAAACAATACCTCCAAGCAAACAAGTTCAAAATGCTAACAATCAAACAGCTTTTAAGTGCAATCGTCTTGGCAGATTCCTATTGATACACTATAACCAATGACAGATTCTGAGATTCACCTTCGAGGGCAAAGCATATGAGCACCTTTTATACCCTTTCAGACTGTCTGTAGTGCCTTTCACCTTTTCAAAATGTGTGAAGGCTGCGCTGGCACCCCTCAGGGAAAACTGAGGGAAACCGCCGTCTGCATTTTAACTTATCCAGGCTGCAATAGCTATCTATGGAAAGCAGACAATAGTGCAACTTTCTCAGGTTCTATTTAGACTCTGGGGTTTCTGTTGAACTTCTGGAAAAGCTCACTGATCCCAAGTCAGCAGATCTTATTTCTGGAGAAGCCCCAGAAATGGGGCTTCTCATTTTCCTTATACTCCCTGACAATCAGAGCGTGTCTCTCAATGTTTGTGTTTCATGGCTGTCGAGCTCAATTTCAGTTTGGACACAATCTGAGCTTCTGGATGATCTTAAAACTGATGGGGTTGAAGGAAACTATGATCACAGTGGTACCACTTGGTCTTCTGAAGATGCATCCATTTCAGCAGTAGATCAGCTCCCGTCAGTTGTGTGCATGATGTCACTTGCACAGAAAGCTGACAACTTTGTGCCCTTGGTGGAAACTAAGCTTGTGGTGCCAAGGTTTAATAAAAGAGATGTGTTGCTTCCCAAGGAAAATCTATCAGGACTATTTATATCCCTGGACAATGGAATCTGTGTAGAGCTGCTCTCCACAAGTGCTCCTCAGATGACCGATTATAGGCTTCACCCTTCTTTGGTGGCACAAATATGGAGTCCACCAGGGATAAAACTGTAGGGTTGCAATCGAAAAAAAATCAAACAAAGTCCAGAAGTTATAGAGCTCTTATTCGTTTTATCTTTTTTTTTCAAAAACATTTCCATCCAGTTACAGCATGACAGGTTCACACACAAGAGGGAGAGACCCTTCTGATCTAACACACCTGCCTTTTAAAGCATTGGCTCTTCCTTGACTAATTAAGGGGTGGAGTCAACACTTACAAGTGAAAACAACATTTGTACTACACTATATTCCTAGAAAGAAATTTACATTTCAACTAACAATCTTCAAACTAAAACAAAATCTGGGCCCCAAATTAAATCCAAAAACATCTCCCCTCTCTCTCAAACAATAGATTCTGAGGTTGATTGAAAACACCAGGTCCTTGTCAGCACTGCTCATGGGCGCGCTTCCATGGCAACACCTGACCAGGTGACCTCAAAGAGAAGAAAAATGATTAAAACAAAAACACCAAACAAAGCAAGTTGCTTCCTCCAAACAAAATACAGTTAATAAATAAATCGGAATATAGAAGCACAAAGACATCACCTTTTAGGGAGGGGTAAATCCCTCACACTTCCCTCCTCTTCAGGAGGCTCGCTGTGATTCCAGCGAGACAAAAAGTCTGCAACTGTGTTCTCTTTTCCTGGAATGTAGCCCATCTTAAATCGGTAAGGTTGAAGAGACAGGAACCATCGTGTTATGCGACTGTTTGTGTCTTTCATGGCTTCCAACCATTTCAGTGCCCGATGGTCAGTCTCCCTCCTCAAACTTTGGAATATCAGATTGAGTCCATGCTTTTTGTACTGGCTCACCTCTAGATTGATGCCGGGGAGTTGGCTCCACATCTGCTTCTGAAGAGGGGCCTGATTGAGCCTCAGCTTCAGTTTCAGTTTTCTGCTGCTTCTCCAGCTCTTCTCTCAAATTGGTCATTTCATCCTGAATCTGGTGCCATCTCTTTTCTTGCTTACATTCCTCTTTGTCCCATCTATCAACAAAGTCACTCTGGAACTGGAGACATCTTTCCAGCATGGCAGCAATGTTGTTCATGTCCACAGATGTTTCATCACTGGAGTGCAAAGTTGACTGACCTGTAGCTCCCTCCTGCTCTGCCTCCTCCACCGGAGCGGCTTCTGCCACTTTGAGGCTTTTCGTCTGCTGCTTTGGACCCATGATTAGCTCTTTTCTGGACCTCAGCGTCGCATCCCACTTCTGACACCAAAATGTAGGGTTGCAATCGAAAAAAAAATCAAACAAAGTCCAGAAGTTATAGAGCTCTTATTCGTTTTCTTTTTTTTCCCAAAAACATTTCCATCCAGTTACATCATGACAGGTTCACACACAAGAGGGAGAGCGACTTCTGATCTAACACACCTGCCTTTTAAAGCATTGGCTCTTCCTTGACTAATTAAGGGGTGGAGTCAACACTTACAAGTGAAAACAACATTTGTACTACACTATATTCCTAGAAAGAAATTTACATTTCAACTAACAATCTTCAAACTAAACAAAAACAATCTGGGCCCCAAATTAAATCCAAAAACATCTCCCTCTCTCTCAAACAATAGATTCTGAGGTTGATTGAAAACACCAGGTCCTTGTCAGCACTGCTCATGGGCGCGCTTCCATGGCAACACCTGACCAGGTGACCTCAAAGAGAAGAAAATGATTAAAACAAAAACACCAAACAAAGCAAGTTGCTTCCTCCAAACAAAATACAGTTAATAAATAAATCGGAATATAGAAGCACAAAGACATCACCTTTTAGGGAGGGTAAATCCCTCACAAAAACCCACTGTCTTCTGGGTTTGGATTACAATGTTCAGTTGGGGTAGATACTCTAGTACCCTGACAATCCTGTGTACTCCTTTATGCACTTTTGAGTGTTTTATATATATTTATATATGTCCCATACTTGTGTTGTGCTGAGTGAATCAACTGAAAGGGAAACATAATGTTATACATATAACTACTGTTACATGCACATGGCTGCCCCGCTTCTCAGCTGAGCTTGGTGAAGAGCAGCTATTGAACTGAATAATGATGGTGAAGACAAGCAGATGTCTAGTACAGGTGGGGCCTATTACTGGTTATCATCATGTCATTTGCCGAGGAGGCGTGATCAGGGGTGACTACAGCCAGGATGTACAGGGGTGTAATATCCCAGACTCATTGGTTGTACCTCATTCCTTCGTTCTCTCAAATGTAAAATATATAACTTGTCTGTTCATTTTGTCTTTGTGTTTAGATTTTTTTTCACATTGTCCCCATTAGTTGACTGAAATTTTGTTTTAGAAATCTGCTTTTCTCTTGTTTTCTTATGTTTTTTTTAAAGGTCCTGACGGTGCGTTACATACCTACACAACTTCTTTTCCTCACTGTGTCCTTGATGTTGTCTGTATTTCCTTTAAGATGCTGTGCATGTTTGTTGTGTTGTTTATTGGTTTGTGTGCAGAGTTTGTGAAATGGTTGTGCTTTTCTACAATAACTCTAAAAGCAAGCATGGTTCACAAGGTTACTTGTTAAGTGCTGCATGTTAAAAGTATTTTTAACTAAAATGTATTTTTCTTTTGGGTCTTATTTGTCTCTGTCTGTCTTTTCTTTGATGCCCCCTCCTGCCAGCAGATGTAACCCCAGGTACAGATATACCCTTTATTTGATCACCCGGGACTATATCACAGTTATAAACTGACTGCCAAGCTTTCAGTTAACCTTTGCTAAACTGCCAGGTTGCCCCATCATTCTCACCTACAATAATAATTGGTCAGTAATCTAAAACACTCCCGCTGTGTGTGGAAGAAGACTTCAGTCACACTTGTCAAGGTGCCAATGCGGCAGTGCTTCAGTGCCTTAGTATTATCGAAACAGGGAAATATTGGCACTAAGTCCTTCAAGTTGTCCTGAAAGATCGAACGGCAGAAGGCCGAACCCTGCTGCTGATTTGGTTCTCTTGTGTCAACAAGATCATCACCTCAGCAGCAGACAGGAGTCCTAAATCTGTCTCAAATGGGAGACTATATTAAACAGAGTCCTCTGAAGCCTTTCACCACTATCCATAACCCATTCAAACATTAACACTGCCATAATAAATAATTACTATGGATTGACGATTTAGTTCAGGATCACATCATTAAATAAAGCATTTATGCTTTCTGTTGTGTGTGAAACTATAAATTACCAGCAGTAGTTTTTTTAAATTAATAATGGGTTTAAAACCCCCACCCATAAATGTAATTATTCCTCAAGCTTATGTATTCAAATATGACAAATAGTGTTTTTGAAATCTATAGATGCTAAGGTGCAGGCTCCCAGTTGCAAAATATTTTTGAAAATGACATTTTTAATGGACCCGACCCAGAACTTTGTCAACCACCATTTGACAAAAAAAAATAAATCTAAAATAATTTTTTAATGACCCTATTGGTGATATTTTTACTCAATTTTACGGACAAATGCTTCTTGTGAAGGTGCCAATGTGGGAGTGCTTCAGTACTTTAGTATTATCGCTGGATAACAAGAAACAAGAGAAATACTATTTAAAACAAAAAACAACATAAAGTCCATCTGACAGAGTTGACGCAGAAATGAAGGTGGTGACAAACTAGTGAGTAAAAAGAAATATTTGATACATGTGAAGTAAAGCCATTTATGTAAAATATATTAAAATGAATTAACTGCACATTAAAGTGAGATTTGTCAACACTATCTCTGAAAGAGTCACATTGCCAAACTTTAAAACTCTGATGGAGTTGAAAAAATGTCAAAGTAGCTCAATTTATATGATGTTGTTCTGAAGGAGGCCGTATTGTAGCTCATCAGGTCGGTGAAATCTTTACAGTATACTAAAATTAAGCATTTATTTCACAAAATTTCATAAAAATTTTAATATTTTTAAATTGACATGATGTTGCTCGTCACATCATGGCTGTGATGATTCAATTTATTGATACTTTTATAGTTATTTATTTTAATACTTATACTTAATTGTCATAATATATTATCTTAGCATTCCATTAATTGTTTTAAACTATTATGATGTACTGAGTTCTGCTCCAGGACAAGGGATATTAAAGACACCATCCACCTATTACAAAGTTTAAAATAAAAAATATTCAGCAAATACCAGGAAAACATACACTGTTGTGCTTACATTGCCCAGGTTAGTTTAGTTTATTTGAAAAAATAATATTTTGTGTATATTTTATTCAAATTGTGTGCTTTATCTATAGGACATGTTTTATTCCTCTTCACTGAATTTAGATTAGTCACATCTAATTAGTCTTTACCAATGATAAAAAACAAAATGCAAAGAGTGTCAGTTTACTCTCTGTTTTACTTTTTGTCCTTTCATCCACAGAGAATCCTCCTCTAGACCCTCCTGAGGACAGAGTTGCTGTGAGTATCTTTCTTTGTATCTCTCGTTTTAAAAGTGGTGTATCTCCTTCTTAAAGCTAGATCCGACTGGATGAACCCAGATCAGAATTTTGTGTTTTTACTGTCAGCGAAATAAGAACAACCAGAGTCTTCTGTCTTTTGTTGTGCTTTATGTTGCATTTGATTTTGTGAGCCAGATATGCCTCCACATATCTCTGCAACAGATTTGTGGAGACATAATGGTGCTTTGTGCTTTTGCAGGTGTACGTAGTCGTGGGAATTGCTGCTGTAGCCTTCACTGGTTTTTTGCTGATGCTGGTTATCCTAAAGTTTGGAGGAAATTCCAAGTTTGGCATCAAAGGTATGTCTCCCAATGTCTATTTTCAACATGCTTGTGAGGTTATAGATGAAAGTGGGTGGTGAAATGAAGTTGGTTTCATGGATAATAATACACCACACATAGCATACACCAGGATCATAAACATTATAGATTTTTTTAATCACTGCTAATCATTAAAAAATATATATTATGCAATTTTAAGAACTGTTGACATAATTTCCTGAAGCTTTACTAAAATATAAGATATATTGGTAGAATATCATTTGGATTCATGATTTTTCCAATTACTAAAAAGCCCATATTTTATTACCTGTTGGGATTGAAATGGAAAGTGAGATCAGGTGTTTAATATGTATGTGGGTGAGAAATCCCTCACTTTATCTCTTAGAACAACTCCATCTTCATAGGGCTTATCCCCACAGTCTCCTGCTCCTGTCTGCTGCAATAATTGCTGACAGTGGGAAAGTTAACACTGTAGCCTAACCAATATGAACAAGAGTCACAAGATGGAGGAGCTCCAAAACAGTTCCAGCTGGGCTTGTTATTTATCTCGTTCTCACAGTGCAAAGTCTGAAAACAACATTTACTTTAAATGAATATAAATATTTTGACCACCCTTACCATAATAATGGTGCAAGGTCTAATGCTAGGACATTGTGTTATTTTAGTAGATTTAAATTTAAAATAATTTATCTGAAATTGACTGAGATAAACATGTCATTAAACAATGTGAATTGAATATCAGATCTGAAGAAAACAGCATTTGTAGTTTTATTTGTATTTTATTATAAATTACCACACCAAATGATCGTTTATTATAATCATTGGAAAAACCTGTCCGACCATTACAGAAATTAAACCCATGTTTTTACAATTTCCAACCAGCTATTTGCAGGTTTCCACTGGAAACATATTTTTAGAAAAACCCCAAGTCGTTGAGGTCGAAAGACCTTGAAACCATCCTGATCTTTAACTCCCTCTATAGATTGATTTTTAGATTTATGTCAGGACTCTGGCTGCGCCTATCCCAAACATTATTTATAGTCAGACGAAACAGTTTAGTAAAACTAAAAGATTCCTATAGACCTAAAGCTGAGAGTTATCGTAGACAAATTATTTTGGGCTTAACTAGCTTTTATTATGTATTCTGAAATCATTTGGTCAGAGTTTTAAGGGTTGATTACTGTGTTTTTGTTATATTTTATCTTAAACTTCTTAGAAAAAATCAGCAACATCCCTGGAAATTTTGCCAGTGTATGAATTAAATTGCATAATTGTATAGTATGTAATGTAAAAACGTTTTCACATAAAAGTTTTATTGTTCTGAGTGGATCATTATTATTCATTTCCATTACACAATCTGCTGTGTAACGTAAGTAGCAGCCTGATTTCAATTTTGACTCTTGATTTTTTATACAATGATCAATATGGATCCATGAATCCTCCTTCGGTGGGTGGAAACTGCTATCGTTTAGTCTTTCTTCTGGGTCTCAAGTCTGTTGGTGAATAACATGCATGCAGGTTGAACTTACAAAATCTTTGTCATGGTTAATGCAAGTCTGCTGCTCTAGCCAATGTTGAATCATTCACTCTCAGATGCTTGCTGTTTAAGTTTTCTGTTGTAACTTTATTTTCCAATGTATCTTAAGAACATGACTTCACTCACTGACTTCTGCATTAGCTACATAAGAAACTAATCAGATTCCTCTTGTAGGCATTAACCTCCTGATTTATTAGAATGGATTTGGCTGAACTCTTCTGTAGATGTTTCCTTTTTCTTGTGCACTAACAGTAACATCTATACTAGATGAATTTTGGATACATAACCAGAGTTTTATGAACCTTTTAGATTATGCTTTCTTCTGTGCGTTTGCCATTCAGCTGACTCTAGCTTGGTTCATCCTATCGATATAGTGAGGAATTAAAGCAATGTTTTGAGGAAGTCATTTTGTGCCATTTACAAATATAGCCGTTTCAAAATCATATTACATTTTGGCACCGTCTGCTCTGCTAGCGTTCGAACTTTTAAAATTTAAATGAGCAGACATAAAGTAAATGTAAAGTTAGATATTTAGGGACTTAATAAATGTGTTTTCCAAATGTATGTGCATTTTACTGCTGATGTGAAGTAATATGGCCTCCGGAAAAGTTGGAGGAAAGGCAAGGGGAGCATATTTAGTCAATTTATGGAGTTGCATAGTTTTGTTTTGCTCCGGCAAAATTACATGAGGTTGAAGAAAAATGAAAGAAATAACCTCCCTGCATTTTAATATACTGTGTAAAATGTATATGCTTGTGTATTTTGTAGCTAGCCAAACACTTTTCCTTGACTATGCACTTCCACTCATGTGGAAAGAACGATGTTAGGTCCCATTGCTGTTTCTCTCCTTCTGATTGCTCGCCTTGAGTCTTTATCTTTTCTTATTTCCACTCTTGCCCTCCATCTTATAATGTGGCCCCATCGTTCTACTCCACAAACAGCCTGATGAGTGTGGCCTACAGCATGTTGAGATTGGAGGAACTTTATCAAGGGAATAACTGCAGCCTCAGCAGGAGCAGATTGGAGTCAGACAGAGGCTAAGGTCTGAGTCCATTTTAAGCAAACTGTTTGCTTAAAATTCTTCATTCTGACCATTGACCAGTTCCTCTGAACTCTGGAAATCTAACCCCAGATGGCAAAGGACTGTGGGTGCTAATGTAAAATAGCTAGCATTTTTTCATCAGAACATGTTTGCTAAATCATAGATTTGTGCACACAGACATACTCACCCACATAAGCACAGTCAGAGCTGACAATGATGATGAACTTGTGAACAAAAAGTGTAATCGGCATATATTGGGCCCTGTGACTTGTCCAACAGATGTGTAGTGAATCAGCACAGCCTCTGATGCTGGCAGTATCTCTTTCTGATTGCAAATTAAATAGCTGCAGTAGCTCGTTTACATTTTGTAATGAACATAACATTCTGTTTCTTCATCATTAATAACCACAGAAGACATTTAGAGTAGGCTTTTTGATAGTTTTCTGGTGCAATGTAATTTATTTACATTACATTGCTTAAACTTTCTCACATTTGTCTTGATGCAACCACAAATTATATGACACAAAGTATATTTTAATTGGATATTACATGGTAAATAAATGCAAAGTACTGGATAAAAGTGAAGTAGAAAGAAGGGATACACATTTTTCACACTCAACCCAACCCCAGAAAAGAAGGGAAAGTGCCTTGTAGAAAGTCCTATTTGCTTTCAAATCCATCCATAAAACGCAGGTCTTAGAGACTATTTAATTGTTAAATAGTTTCACTCTAAAGCAAAAGGTAACTCTGAGTTGAAAGCCATTGTTGAAATAGTCTTAAAGTGTATCAGCAGGTGCTCTTCTCACAGTGAGAGACACACTTACGCAATGCTGTACGTGTCACCCCTAAGCATAACATTCCCAGGGCAAAACATAGTGTTGGCAGTGTCATGCTGCGGGGATGCTTTTTATATCAGGCACAAGGAAGATGGTCAGCTGTAGTTCTTAGTAAACAAAAATAAAAAACACAAGCAGAAGAAGACGTTGTATTTAGTGGAGTATTTGGAAGAGGAATTTTGTTTTTCTGTTCAATCACAAAACTCTGGATGTTTGAAGAGACTATCAGGTTGTAGTGGGTAGATGCATGAGCCAAACTTCACATGCCAGCTTTGCATTTGAGCAGATGTTAGCAGCCACTAGGATGATAAATTTGTCTAATGTAAGTAAGATTTTGGTGGTTTTGTTAGTGATTACCCATCGGAATCGTAAAGAGTCACCAATAAAAAAAAATTGAGTTGTTTTTTCTGGTTACTAGAAGTCTCTCTTCCTCTTTCTGTCTGCACCCCTGACTGCTTCTCCAAACTGGGAACTCTTGCTGTCAATAAAATGACCACAAGAAAGAAATGTACCTTTAAAGGCAGACATACTTCACAAAATAACTTGGATCATTTATGTTTTAATATTTAGATAATTTTCAGAAATGACAAGAAGCTATTTCTGTTCCTGCGATTAGTATAACATTAAGCAACATAGGTTGGGACCCAAAATGCTTTCTGCGAATCATATGCTGATCAATTTAAAAAAAAACATCGATTGGACTAATTAGATGAAGACATCCCATCTTGTAAAAAGGAACCGTGCTGCAGCTGGTGCTTTTTAACTTCAAGGCATCCTTTGTGCAACATCATCGCAGCAGAGAGACCCCGTTGGCTTAATGGAGGGCTGCATGCAAATGTGTCTCTGTAGGCTCTGAGTTGGTTTAATGCCCATAATCTTCCCTGCATAGGCAGGTTTTCAAATAAACACCAGTGAGCGCCCATGAATTGGCCCTGATTGTTTCTTGGTAGATGTGGTTCTAACTAACCAGTGACAAAAACTTAATCAAATCATCTTTTGAAGCTTTTGATGCAGAAAGGGGAGATTTTGCACTCCAAATTAGTTTTCTAAGTTACTGGACGTGCTGAATCAATAAGATTCTTGAGAGAAATGAGGTTTTGAGTAATTGTGCCACCTTATCAGTCACTGGATTAGAAAGTAATACATCAAAATACGCTTTTCAAGTTTCACATTTGTAGCACGGCAACGCTAGTTTTAAATTTTTTAAATGGATTTTATAGACATACAAATGTTTAAAAAGACAATGCATGTTCACATAATTGCCCAGGATTAAGTAACACCCATTCACATAATGCTTAAAAAATGAACGTCACACAATGTAAAACGAAGAAAAAACATGACAGTAGGCTATCTTAAAACCATCCACAACCTTAATGTCTTTCTTTATAATTTGATGCGATTGGCTGATGCAAAGCGTTTCATTATTTTGAAGGGGAATGAAAAGTTTTCATAGACAGGGACACTTTGCGCTTGTTGTGTCGCCAACAAGCAGCTTCAGAGTTACAATGGGGCTCTTTAGTTTTATTGATCAAAATTCCAACAAAATACATTCAAGTTTTTGATAATACCACAAAAAGCGAAGTGTTCAAGGTGTATCAGCAGC